GACTTATCAGCAGTTCGAAAAAGGTTTGCATCGAAGATGCAGATATGTAAGAGTCCGTGAGTAAACACATGACATGCATGCCAAAACGCCCTGGTAAGCACCCAGCACCAAACACATCTACATGCAGGCGCATATGTAACATGTATGTGAGTACATGTGTGCGGGACGTAAATTCATCCACATGAAGACATCCAGTCACTCTCACACACACACACACATACACATACACACACACACACACACGCAAAAGCACACATACATCCCACTTCGATTTCTGTCGTTGCTATAGCTAGAAGCTACACTTGCACATCTGCTCGAGCGTCGCTTCGTGACTGCACTGAATATGAGTCAGTCGCAAGCATGCGCACTTGGTCTCAAGATGCCTATTGTAAGTCTTCGCTGTGAACAAGTTGTGAAAAGGAGCCTTGAACCTTTAAGTCCTACATGCAGAAATTCAAGTAGTTTCGCCTTAGGTGGATTTAGGTGGTGTCGAAGCAATGCTGGACTGCCCAGCTAGCTAACTCAACTATCGCTGATTCGGGACTTGCAAACCCGGGCACCCCACCCGGAACTGTAAATGAGCATCCTGCCGCTGAGCCCTCAAGCCTGAACAACCTTAAAACAAGCAGAAGGTATAAAGTTTACGGTTAAACTGCCGGCCAGGCACAGAATTCTGCCTCGAGGTTGCTATTCCCCGCCCACGCTTCCTCTGCTGCCGCCTCCTTTACACACTGAGGGCTTGGGGTCTGGTTTTGAGTGGAGGTGGAAGGTTTTCTCTATGTAGAAACCAATATAGGGCGTTGCAGAAACCTTTACAGTAGCCCCTTATACGGATCCTTACTTACAGGAAGCCATCTAGAGACCCATATAGACTCATATTAACCCTTACAGATGCCCTTCGAGGAAGTCGGTAGAGTTCCTATGCGGTAAAGCGTACAACTACACGTTTCAAGATGTTTAGAGGCGGGGGCCTTCTGGCAAATGCTCGTTGGCCTTATAAGGTATGCATGCAGCCACATCGACGAATCGAGCTTCACATCGCATGGCTTGCTCATGTGCCCGTGCGTCCATCGGGATTTTCAGACACCATGAAAGATCATGATCCTCAACCCGAAGCCAGACAAGTAGGGTTTAGGGCTTGTAGGGTGTAGGATCAAGAACCCACCCATCCCCGGGAGACGAAGATGGCTAGAGCTTGCATGTAAGCCCAGGGCTGGGATGACAACTTCCTTCCATGTTGCTCACATGCGTGGCTTTAGGGAGTTAGGGACTTCGGGTATAGGAAGTCGCACAAAGGTGCCAATAAGTAGATGTTGTTGCCAGGTTGGGCAGCGCTTGCCTGCATGCGAAGCCCTGAACCATGCGCAGCCCACCGGCCCCTGCATCTGGCTCGACATTCAAACACACTGCGTAGCAATGTGCCAGAGGATGTGGGTCGGGGCGTAAGCAAAGCATAGCGACCCTTGAGGCTGATAAGCTGAGGGTTTGGGTTTAGGGTTTTTGAGGGTCTAGGGGTTCCAATATCTGGCAAAAGCCTCGGGAGAGTCCAAGCTTCATTTCTGCTGTAGTACTAGGTTATGGTACCCCTTAAAAGAACAGCCGTAGTACCCCTTAAGAGAACGGCCATAGTACCGTACTGACTCAAGTAGCCTTACAAGCGCCCCTAGCAGCAACCATTCCCGAGCCATGGCCGAGCAAAAGCCGGAAGAGGAGCCCCACCACCCACCCCCCGCCAAAAAAAAACAAACGACGAGCCCCTTATAAACCCTAAACCAGAAGCCCTAAACCCTATACCCCATAAACCCTAAGCCAGCCCTAAACCCTGAACCCTATACCCTTCTAAACCTTAAACCAGGAGCCGTAAACCCTAAACCCTAAACCCTTATAAATCGTACACCAGGAGCCCTAAACCCTATACCGTTAGAAACCCTAAACCAGGAGCCCTAAACCCTATAAACCCTATACTACCTATACCCTTATAAACCCTAGACCGGGAGGCCTCAACCCTCAACCCTATACTACTATACCCTTGTAAATCCTAAACCAGGAGGCCTGAACCCTTAACACTTATGAGCCCTAACCAGGAGCCTGAAGATCTCAAGCAGGAAGAGGAGCATGCGGACGCGCAGCTTCAGAGGTGTCCTTGCAGGGTTCAGGGGAGTTTTGGGGTTTAGGGCCTCAAGAGGGGGTGAGGGTTGCGTAGGCGCTGGCCGGCACCACCTTCCGTGCTGAAAAGGGGTTTAGGGTGTAGGCGTGGGGCTTGACAGGCGACGGAGTGCCCTGGAGAGAAAGAGAGAGATAGAGAGAGAGAGAGAGAGAGTTGAGGCTTCGGTTTGTTGAGTTGTTGCTGTTACTTAGATCCTAAGGCCCTAACGCATGAAATGCCTATACCCTAGACTCTGACATGTACACCTTTGAAGATCCAGATCCCTGAGAGGTGGTCGAGGGATTTATGCAGGTAATGGTTTTGGCAAGCCCTACAGCATGGTTCTGACCCTTCCTTGTTGGCCCCTCCCCTCAAGCTGAAGAAACACGAAAATTACAACACACCCGAAACTCGAATAACCTTGCAAGCCCTTCAAACCTAAATCCAAGCTGTGTGTGAATCAGGGGTGCTACCGGTCTGGAAGAAGTTCTGGAGAATGAAGACAGCCAGCCACCTACTGCTGGGGACGGTGTCAGGTTTCGGGATGAGAGAGGTGGCAATTCAGAAGGATGGTTTTTGCGGGGTTGTTTTGTTGGGAGGGATGCAAGGGTTTAGGGTTTTGGGCATTAGAGTTTGGGGCTCAGGGTGTAGAGTTTAGGCTTAGGGTCTAGGACTCTCTTGATTTTGAGGTAACCCTAAACCCTAAACCCGAAATTTTGAGGGCTCAGGTCCCAAAATAATTGGGCATTTTAGGCTGCAGGGCTGGTGGCGGCAGCTAAGCTGCGCAGTTGACGCCCTGCTCCGGTGTCGCTGTGGTTCGGGGAAGTCCCTCTAGGCTATACCCATAGGCCCCATAGTGGTTCCTTTTTGGGGTTCATATATAGAATCCTATCAGGTAATCCCCAAAAGGAACTACTATAGGGCCTATGGGTAGTTCACCCGACATGGAGAGTCAAATTTCACTGAGAAGCTCCTCTATACAGAATGACCGCCTGCCCAGCCCCCAAACCACAAACCGTAAATCTTAGGTCCGAAACCGAAGCCCCGAACCTTGAGACCCTGCTTTCCCCCAGAACCGCTTTCTTCGCCCCGGAGCCCTTAGTTTCGGATTTGTGAGTTTGTGACTGGTGTGGTTAAGGGTTCTGTGAGGATTGTATAGGGGTTCGGAAGGGTTGAAGGTTTTCTTTGAACCCTGAACCGCAGAATCTGCCCCTCCCTCTCCCCGCAAGCTCACAAGCGCATTTCCCACAATTCTCCAGACCCGCAGATCCCTTAGCACTTAAACCCCGAAACCAAGAAGGACAGAAATTGCAGTAGCAGTTCTGTGATCCAGGCGCGTGGGAAGAATACATGGCAGAGGTGCAGGAGCTGGACGATGGAGGGCTTCGGAGGTCGTTTCTCAATTTCCAGGTCCAGGTCGCTACCCAAAACATGAGGGTGGAGTTTAGGGGTCAGTGGTTGTTGTTCATTGTAAGGGTTCAGGGTTAAATCCCCAAACCCTTTAGAACCCGCTAAACAGACGCGATCTTCATTGTTCAGGAGAACCTGCTGAAGCTTCCGTTGGTGGCCATGCTCTTGCCCAGAGACACTGACAAAGAGGTACTTAATAGAGATTGGAGGGTTTAGGGTTTAGGGCTTCGGGTTTAGTAGGAGGGACTGTGGAGAATACAGGGAGTAAATTCAGGAATTCCATGGTTTTTTTCGGGATCCACTCTGCCACTCCCACTTAAGCACCAGTCAGGAGGTCTCCCCGCTCTCACAAGCCTTGGATGTTCTGTGGTATACTTTGGAAACCAAGCGTTTTGGGTTTCGGGTCTTTGGTGTGCGAAAAAACAGTGTAAAAAAAGATGCGTTGTAGGGAGAACCATCGGGGTATCAACAGCCATCTTGCCAGAAGTAACCGGATTGAGACGAGGCTTTTGTTCGTGCCGAGGGTTTCGCGTTACTGATTGGGTTTTCAGGGCTTCGAAAACATAATAGGGCACGGAACGTGATCCCTAAACAATTAACCCTAAACATAAACCCTGCAACCGTGAATGTTAGGCTTGGGATTCGTGAAAGCATGGGCCGGGTAAGCTCGTCTTTGTCTAGTTGGGTCTAGGGTTTAGGGTGTCGGATACCCTTGGTAACTGGTATTCCCTACCACAGGCACCTGTGGTAGTGTCTGGTAGTGATACTGGTACCAAACGGTTCTGTGAGCGTCGGACGCAACAAAGTGCTGGGGTTGCAAATGGAACGAGGCTACGACAGCAAAACAGAACATAAGATGCCCTCAAAAAGGCCAGGTACCACCAACTCTACTGCACGAACTTCAGGTTTCAGCACTTAAGTGGTTTAAGATTAAGGTTCAGCCAACGCATTGTTGAAGTTTAGGATGCAGAGATCAAGGTTCAGGATAACGTTTACTCTAAGTGGTTGAGTGTACGGGCTTGACGTGTCTTCTGCGAGGTGTAAGGTCGGTTGCAGGTCATTGACTTCACGTTCACTTGGGGTGCTGGGGTGTAGGATTCAGGGTTCAGGATTCGAGCTCAGGCGCCTTTGAAACCAGTGAGCAGCTTGCAAGTACAGGTAGAGGCACCCTACACCCTAAACCCGGCATCTTCAATTTGAGCTGGGGCACTTTTGCAATGTGAGACTTCGCCGGCTAATTCTCAAGGGCTGGTTCCTTGGGCCTATGCCCTAGTTACCTAACTCATCCCGAAGGTTTCGGCTCCATGGTAATTATTATAGGTTAGGTTTAGGGTCTAGGCTTCCATGGTACTTATAGCTTAGGGTCAGGGTTTAGGGTTCCATGCTGCAGAGAGGGAAGCTTGAAAGAACACCGGCTTCGCAGGCGTCCGCCGCCCTGCAGGCCATGGAGACGGAGCGGATACACGTAGGGACCTGAGACACTGCCTGTGGATCCGGAAAGTAGAATAAACAAATCCTGAATCATGATAACCTAGGCATCTGATGAGAGTGAATAGAGCAGGTTAAACCCTAACCCCCCAGGTACCTACTATATAGGGTACCAGAGCGCCCAAGGCCCTATATAGTAGGTACCTGGAGGGTGAGGGAAAGATATTAATATGGAGAGGCCCTGATGGGAAACCTGGTGTTAAGCTGAAGACTACTCAGAGAAGTTCTTATCGGTTACACTAGGTCTCGGAGTCGCGGGCTTTTTGTGGCTTGTGGTATTGTTAGCTCTTCAACTCAATGACGGTCTTCTGCCATCTAGATTATCTAGATCGGTTTGGGGATTGAAAGGACGTGAACCTTGCTGCTGGCTTCCCTGGGCTCAGGTGTGATAAATCAGACATCCGAAGACTACTGCACACGAGCTGGTTTTATAGGCAGCAAGTCCTGAATTCGAGAAAGCAAATCAGCACCGTGGTTATTTATGAGCCTCGGACTCATGGGGAGACACGTAAGACTTAAGATCAGCTAGCTAGTTTCGTTTTGGGCATGGCCTTGCACGTATGCTTGTGTAGCTCAGCATCACATGTAGAGATGCTTCCCTGGCCCGGTTTGTATCAGAGTGTGTTTAGGGGTTTAGGTTTAGGGGTTTAGGGTTTAGGGATTTAGGGAGGGTTAGGTGTTCATGGTTCGGTAGAGGCTCCACTACGAGCCCTTCTGTCGTGTACTCAAAAAAAACTGTTCTGTCATGATTGGAGCCACAGTCCTTAATGCACAGCGCGTGTTATTTCTAGAGTCGGAACCGTCATCGTCACGTGGGTCCACTGGCTCCTATATTGACCGAATTTTTCTGCGCGGTTTGTAAGGTCAGTGCTTGGGGTTTCGGGAGGGTCTAGGATTCAGGATTTAGGGCATCGATCAGGGCGCATGTTTTAGCATGGGGGTTTGGAGTTACTGGTCGAGCAGATCAGACGATTAAATCCCACACCCCGGTCATGTTGATTGAGCATATTCCCTGGCGCCGAGACCTTAAATACTGAAGCCATGTGTCTCCAAGTGCTACCGGGCAATCAAGGAAGTACGACTCCCCTTACCCTAAAAGCCGCTAAACCGTGAGACCTTATCTGGCTATTGTCCGAGTTGCGAGAGCCCAAACCCTGAAACTCAGGCTTCACGGCAAAAGGCCACTGCAGCCATCCTACGCAAGTCTGAATAATCAGAAGCACTGTCCACTGGTCCCTCCATTAAATCATTCATGTTGACATGCCATCCTATCTTACAGCCTTGTACATGCGCGGATAGAAGAAGAATGGCAAAACAACCAATTGAAATCTGATGCTTACTGCTAGTCAACCCTCTGAGCCCTTCTTCCATGACCACGCATGGGAACAAAGCAAGGGAGGAAGAGAGAGAGAGAGAGAGATAGAGAGAGAGAGAGAGATTCAGAGAGGGAAGTGGTTCAGGGTTTTTGCTGGCGCACTGAAGTGGCTAAGTGTATCGCATGCAAATCAAAAGTTGACCGGTTGTTCTTAAACCCTACACCCTGAGCCCTAGGCCCAAAACCCTTTCACTCGCGGACCCACACACACACACCCTAAACCTTACACCCTGCGCCTCGAGGCCATGCGACCTAAAGATACCCCGAAGCTCCAAACCGCAAAGGCATAAACACACCTTGCAGCCCGAAACCTTATACCACAGCCAGATTCTGAGTTACCAACACCCCACCATCATTTCAATAGGGCTTTGGGGTCTAACTCAATAGTCATAGTCGAACCCCTGAACCGTTACCCGGACCACCCGGCTGCCCGTTCAGGTGGAGGTTGCTGCGCATACGACTTACCTCAACCAAGATCGGACGCTTTGGATCCTCGCAGCTGGGCGCCATATTTTACATATATATATATATATACAGTAGATCATCGTATGCACACATACATCCACATATCTTTATCTATATATATATATAGTGATTTTCGCCTATGTCCATGTCTGTATCTATATCTATATCCATATCTGTATTTATACCAGTATCTACATTTCTACCTATATGCGTACCTACATCTGTATATATATATATATACATATATATATATATATATGTACAATTGGGTCATGCAGTCATTTTATATGCATATGTGTATGATTATGTGTGCATATATAGAGATAGATAGATGGATGCGTGTATGCGTGTACGTACGCACGCACACACGCACGTACGTATGCATGAATGCATGTATGCATGCATGCATGCATGCATGCATGCATGCATGCATGCATGCATGCATGCATGGATTGATGTACGCATGTATGTATGTACGTATGTATGTATATATGTACATATATATATATATTCGTTCGTAGTATGTTACATCTCATAGTATACTGTTTGCGGCATTGTCTTGTATACTTGTATAAGGTATAGTATAAGGATTTAGATTGAGAGTGCAGGGTACAGAGTTTAGGCTTCACGGTTTAGGGGTTACGTTTCATTTGGGCGGTTCTTAAGGCTTATTATAGGGTCCGGGTTTTAGGTTGCATGACCGAGGCACAAATGTTTCTATAGATATGTGCACATATCATATATCAATCTAAACATCTACTGTCTATTTAATGATGTATCTATCTATCCATCCACCCATCTATCTATCTGTTTATTTATCTGTTATCTATTTACTTATCTATCTGGCTGTCTATCTATCTATCTACCTATCTATCTATGTATTTATCTACCTACCTACCTACCTACCTACCTACCTATCTATCTTTCGATCTTTCTGTCTGCCTGTCCGTCTGTCTATCTATCCATACCTATCTATACATATGACAGCCAGTTCGAGTTACCTCAACTCTGTGCCTGCTTTTGCTATTTATGCTTCTTCAGGTGTCAGGCTCTAGATGCCTACAATCGTGACACTGTTCGTTGGGGTGGGCGGGGGTTGCCTAAAATAGGCACCTGGTGGGGGGTCCTGCTTGCAGTTAAGTATTGAGTCCTACCCAATACTGACACAGAGAGAGGGAACGGGGAACAACCAACTACTACTGCTCCTACTCATACTCCGACTCTGATTCCTATTCCCACGCGTACATACTCCTATATACTCCTACATACTCCTCTTACTACTACTACTACTACTACTACTACTACTACTACGACTACTACTACTACTTCTCCT